CCCCCGATTTCCATAGTCACTGCTACAAGTAACGAATGCACTGTGAAGATTCCAGTATTAATAAAGGTTGTACTGTAATTAATAGCCTCGCCTGCCGTTCTATGGATGTGCTGGTAAGTTGCTAAACCACTTTCCATCATATTTGAGGAATCGTGGCAGTCTGGTGACGTTCCCACGGACTGGAAAAAGGGGAACATAACCCCAATATTCCAAAAAGGAATAAAAGAGGACCCGGGGAACTACAGACCGGTCAGTCTCACCTCTGTGCCTGGCAAGATCATGGAGCAGATCCTCCTGGAATCTCTGCTAAGGCACATGGAAAATGAGGAGGTGGTTGGAGACAGCCAACGTGGCTTCACCAAGGGCAAATCGTGCCTGACAAATCTGGTGGCCATTTGTGATGCTGCCACACACTTGGTGGACAAGGGCAGAGCAACAGATGTCATCTACCTGGACTCGTGCAAAACATTTTGACACTGTCCCACACGATATCCTGGTCTCAAAATTGGAAAATAATGGATTCGATGGACAGACCACTCGGTGGATCAGGAGCTGGCTGGATGGCCACACTCAAAGGGTGGTGGTCAATGGTTCAATATCCTGTTGGTGGCCAGTGATGAGTGGTGTTCCTCAGGGGTCAGTACTGGGACCAGTGCTGTTCATCATCTTTGTTGGAGACATGGACAGTGGGACAGAGTGCACCCTCAGCAAGTTTGGCAATGACACCAAACTCAGTGGTGCAGTCGACACGCCATGGACAGGCTGGAGAGGTGGGCTCATGCAAATTGCATGAGGTTCAACCAAGCCAAGTGCAGGGTCCTGTACCTGGGACGTGGCAACCTCAGGAACAAATAGAGGTTGGGTGGAGAATGGCTGGAGAGCAGCCCTGAGGAGAAGGACTTGGGGGTGTTGGTAGGTGAGAAGCTCAACATGAGCCGGCAACGTGCGCTGGCAGCCCAGAAAGCCAACCCCATCCTGGGCTGCATCAAGAGAAGTGTGGCCAGCAGGTCTCAGGAGGTGACTCTGCCCCTCTGCTCTGCGCTCGTGAGACCCCACCTGGAGTCCTGTGTCCAGCTCTGGAGTCCTCAGCACAGGAAGGACATGGACCTGTTGGAAGGGGTCCAGCGGAGGGCCAGGAAGATGCTCAGAGGGATGGAGACAGGCTGAGAGAGCTGGGGTTGGTCAGCCTGGAAAAGAGAAGGCTCCGGGGAGACCTTGGAGCCCCTTCCAGTCCCTCAAGGGGCTCCAGGAAAGCTGGGGAGGGACTCTGGATCAGGGAGGGGAGCCCCAGGAGGAGGGGGAAGGGTTTGACATGGAAAGAGGGGAGATGGAGCTGAGATGTGGGGAAGAACTTGTTTGGTGGGAGGGTGGGGAGAGCCTGGCCCAGGTTGGCCAGAGAAGCTGTGGCTGCCCCATCCCTGGAGGGGTTCAAGGGCAGGTTGGAGGGGGCTTGGAGCCACCTGGTGTGGTGGGAGGTGTCCCTGCCCAGGGCAGTGGGGTTGGAACTTGATGATCTTTAAAGTCCCTTCCAACCCAAACCATTCTATGGTTCTATGATCACCCCTTGGGGGGACCCCACGGTGGGGGTAGGGGGGTTGCTATGGGGTATTGGTGGGGTGGGGAGGGAAGGGGGGTGACACATCCCCCTGGTCAAGGTGATGGGTGACCCCTGGGGTGCAGAAGAGCATCCCCTTGCTCCATCCCCTCCAGGAAAATGGGGGTGCAGCTGCCGTGCCCCCACCACCACCACCCTTCACCCTCCCCCATCACCTCCACCCCTCCCGGCAGCACCCGCGCCGCCGCCGAATTCCCGGCAGGATTGCCAAACCTGGCCGGGGCGGCACAACCAGCTGCCACGGGATGGAGGGGCTGGGGGTGGGCAGCGTCCTGCTCACCGGCTGCGACGGGGGGCTCGGCCTGGGGCTGCTCAAGGGCTTGATGGAGCAGCCCAGACCCCCCCGGCACATCTTCGCCGCTTGCCTGGACCCCCAGGGAAAGGTAGGGAGGGGGGGGAAAGAA